ACACAAACACACACACACACACAACACATACACATACACATACACACACACACACACACACACACACACACACACACACACACACACACACACACATACACTATTAACAGAGACTTATGTTCTGCGGAAAAGCACGATTAATATTCAGACAAGTCTGCCTGCGTCGTGGCTTTATAGACCACTGTGTGGTTCAGTTCCTATCGTTACATCATTATGAGAATTGCTACTCGTATTATATGGCATCTCCTCACTCATTCAACACTCACTGTGAGCAGAGATGCTGTTTACATGCACATAATCCAGTGGGAGCTCCGTGTGTGTTTTTGGAAAGGGGCGGGGTATAATTTATAAAGGAGGTAGTGGTGGTGGTGGCTTGTCTGCTGTATATCCATCATCTGCTTTTCTATTTGTATCGAGGTTCTCAGTTTCCTTGTGCACTTTGGGCATTTGTTTCTTTGCGTAATTTAGTTTGTACATGGTGTCTACAAAGGGACCCACTAAAAGGGCAATAACTCGATCATATCTGCAGTAATTCTTCCAGAAATAAAAAAAATCAACCTGGGTAATATAAGTTTTAAATAGGAAGAAAATCAATTATCGTGTTCAAGAAATATCAACTTTTTAAAATATCAACCTATGAACGTAAGACAAAACCCTAACATCAAAAGTGTTCAAATGCCCAATTCAACACATTGTACAAAGATCAGGCAGTACATGTATGCTAATGGCACAACATTTTTACTGCGAGATATTATTGATTTCAGAGAAGTGCTTTCAAAAAATAAGCAATGTTCTCAGTTTTCAGGATTTTGCTTAATCAAATAAGGATAAATCTAGAGCATTATGTCCAGCAAATTACACCTACTATGGTGATCAATATCAAGGATTTTATAAGTTCTCTTCAGGATTGTTTGTCCTGGGTACACATCTCAGAAGTGACACAGCAGCCTGGGATATCGACAACTACTGGGAATCTAAAATCCAATCACTGGAAAACATTCTTGGAAGGTGGGCTAAAAGAGACCTATCCATCCCAGGTAAGATTTTAATCATAAAAACTTTGGCCTTAGTTTATTCACGTACCTTATGCAGAGTATTTGCGTGCCGGGAGGAGTAATACAACGCGTGAGCACCTTATTCTTTAAATTCATTTAGAAAAAGATATTCACAAATACTCGAGCATTCGAAAAGGTTAAACGTAAAATAAAGTTTAATAACCCGGAGAAAGGGGGAATGAAAAAGTGTAATCTCTTTGACATTCAATACACTTTCTACCCCCCAAATAGACCCACCTCTTCGTGGTTGGGGGGTGGGGGATTAGTACTCTTCGAATAAGAAAAGAAAAAGAGGAAGCTAACGGGTCAAGGGGTGACCCCGAAAAGAGACATATTACTTTACTATGTTTCATACTCTTTCTATTTATTGTTTTTATTGTTTTTATTGTTTTACTTTATTACATTTATTAACTTTTCTTTTCTCCTCTCTCCATCGACAATCTTTCTTTGACCTGGAGTTGGGACGGGTATTGGTGGGGTGGAAAGCAGAGGTTCATTGTCAGCACTGTACTGGATGTGACTTTACGTCGGGAATACCCAGCTACATACATGTATCAAGCATGCACTTATCGGAGAGCCCTATGACTGCGGAGAAGGTGCAGAGACCATTTGCGTCTTGCTCGTTGACAGCATAAACCCTCTGGGACCTGCCATGCCTTCCCCTGCCCCCATCTCTCGGATGAGAGGACTTGGTTGCTCTGGGAGGGGGGGATTTAGCTTCCAATTGGTATTATTACTACTATTAGAATTATTATTATTATATTATAATTTTTGTATTTCAGCAACACACAGCAACTATGCCCTTAATAACGTCTTTCTCTTCTTTACCTCCTCAATCAACTCCCCAATATAATACAGCAGACACCAACATACCCATTCATTTTTCTTACAATCTCTCTGTGATGGAGTTGGGTTTTTTGTTTGTGGCATTGCACCTACAGCCACTGCTTTATCTCCTACCCCGGGATGGAAGGAAAATCACAGAACCACCAGTTTTAGATGCTATTCACAAATGATAGAATCCCATACGAGCTGAGACGCCGCCTCGGTAATCAAGGTCTCCCCCAGGTCTTAGTGGGCAACCAAGCTGGTGGATGGTTATTGGAAGAAAAAGAAAAGCAGAAAGCAGAGAAAATGGAAAAACAAGAAGAAAATACCCCCTACAACTGGTAACGGAAAAGAGAAGCTAATAGACTTCAATATTCTTCATGCAAATGTCTGTGGCTTGGACAAGAAGAAAACACAATTGGGGAAAATTTTGTATGAAAGGAAAGTCCACATTGCTCTATTACAGGAAACTCTCCATTCATCCTGTGACATAAACATCACTGGGTATACCCCTTATCCATGTAAATGTGAAGGTTGCCAAGGGATATATCAGAAATGACATCCAGGGTGAAGTAGAGCTCCTTAATTGGCATCCCACAGACGCACATAAAGTCACCCTGTGGTATGGCAACAGCAAGCTCATACTCTATAACATCTATTGTCCCCCAAGTAACACTCTGAACTTCATGGAACAGAGTACTATCTTTAAGAAGACGGTCATAGCTGGTGACCTTAATGGACACTCCTCCCTTTGGGGCTATGCTGACCAAAACAACACAGGTAAGAGGATTGAAGAACTATGTCAGCCCTCTAACCTCATCCTTCTCCAAGATGAGGATTCAACCAAAACACTTCTTTATAGGAGACATGGGACCCTCCACAGACCAGATCTCACCCTGGTCTCTGCTGATTTACACAACTACTGCAGTGAAGAGTTACTAGACTGTATATCTAGTGACCATCGTCCCGTTCTCACCAAAATCAGTATACTGAAACACAGACAAAGGAAAAGAAGAACCCGTTGGAACTTCAAGAAGGCAAACTGGGATCTCTTCAGAAAAACAGCTGAGGACACCGTTAAACTGGATGATCTAGACAATAAAAGTATAGACGCCCTTAATAGTGAACTCACCTCCACCATCTTAGATGCTGCAAAGAAGAATATACCACAGGGGTGCAGAACCAACTATAAACCCTTTTGGAACGAGCGTTTGGAGAAAGCTACAAAAACTAAAAATGATGCCAGACATGAATATGAGAAAGATCTAAAAAATATGGACAAGAAAATTAGATACAAAATGGCCGTAGCAGAGGCTAAACTTGTCACCAAGGAATCTAAGAAGGAAGCCTGGACGCAGAAGTGTGAGGGACTCAATTTACATCAAGGTGGACGTGGAGCTTGGTCACTTCTAAATAACCTCACTGGCGAAAAAAGGAAAGAAAACCCCAAACCACTACACGCAGAAACCGAAGTTCTCACCAGCGAGTTAAAAAAAGCCGAACACTTCAATAAACATTTTGCCTCCATTAACAAGAGCAGCAAAAGGAATTACCTGGACAAGGGTCTACTGAGTGTTCTGAAAGGAAAAGAGAGAGATTTGATGACACTCAGTATCTTCCAGGACTTCTTAACTAAGCGTGAATTGGACTGTGCAATCAAGAAACTGAAGAAGCGAAAAAAGCCCAATGAGATGATACAAAACCTTGGTGAAAAAGCCAAACTGCTACTTCTTAAGCTCTATAACAGAACATGGACCGAGGGAAATCTGCCTAAAGCATGGAAACTAGCCACTACAAATCCAATCTTAAAGAAAGGAAAGTCGGCCAATGACCCTAAAAACTACCGCCCAATACCACTCACGTCCTGTATTGGCAAGCTCTGTGAAAGAATCCTCAATTCTCGTCTTTATTGGTGGCTTGAGACTTCAGGTCTGATATCACAGTGTCAAGCAGGGTTCGGGTCAAAAGGCAGGACAGAAGACCAGCTCTTCAGGCTTACACAGAAAATCATTGATGGATTTCAAAGAGGGGAACAGACAACGGCTGTGTTTGTGGATCTCCAACAAGCCTACGATAGAGTGTGGGGGAAAAGACTACTCTTAAAACTGCAGAACATGGGAATCAAGGGAAACATGTACTCCTGGATTAAATCATTCCTTACAGATAGACTTATCCAGACCCAGATGGATGAAACCCTATCTTCAAAAGCAGTACTGGAGGAAGGACTCCCACAGGGATCTTCTATCAGCTGTACCTTATTCCTTGTCTTCCTCAATGACGTTTCAGATGTTCTCAGAACAGAAAAAGCCCTTTTTGCTGATGACCTGGTCCTTTGGCACACTGGAAACTCGACAACAATAAGCAGACAAAGACTACAAGATGATCTAAATTCCATAGGAGTCTATTGCCGTTTATGGAAGATGAAAGTAAATTGCGAAAAAACTGTCTACTCTATTTTTACGAGAAGCTATAACCTTGCAAAAGCAGAAATCCCTCTCAAAATAGATGGTACCAACTTGAAAAAGGAGAATAACCCAGTGTATCTTGGAGTACAACTTGACAGCAAGCTCAACCCGAAACAACACACCAACAAACCTCAGGAAGAAGGCTATGAAGAGACTTAATCTCATCAAACGACTAGCCAGTACCAACTGGGGATCAGACAAGAACACCTTGAGAGGCCTCTATTTAGGATATACCAGAGCTGTTTTTGATTATAATCTTGTTCTACAAAACATTTGCCGTAAAACTACAAAGAACTCAATGGACACCATCCAAAACCAAGCTCTTCGTCTTATCTCTGGCGGAATGAGAACCTCACCGACTGCAGCCTGTGAAATCCACACAAATATTGAGCCATTAGAAACTCGAAGAAAACGGGCAGCTTTAGAAGTATATGAAAGATCTAAAAGGCTAGAAAATAACCACCCTTATAGAATCCTTGATGACAAGTGGGAACCTAATCAAAGAATAAAAAATACAAAATCTGTACTTGACACTGTTCTCAATCTCCAAGAAAAACATCACCTCCCTGAAAGACGAGAACCTCTGGGAAGAGTTCCCTCAACTCTCCCACCACATCTCACCATAGCAAAGCCAGAAATTAGGAAAACACTTTTGGACAAGAACAATAAAAACACATATCCTGTAGCATTAAAACATTCTGCCCTTGAAACAATTGATTCCTATCCACCAACATGGATCCACTCCTACACTGATGGATCTGCCTTAAAGGCAACAATCAACGCTGGATATGGGTTAGTGATCAACTTGCTCAGTGGGATAAAAAAAAAAAGAAGTCATTAATTCCAGCGGGTCCTTCTGCTCCAATTTCATTGCCGAACAACAGGCTATCACCAACACAGCAAACTACATCAACTACTTGTTTGACACTAACCCACTTGCTACCACAGACATCGTTATCTTTACAGACAGCCTTTCAACACTAGAGACACTTGAGAGTGGGACTGATGTGAACAAAGATATATTGCACTTGATTTGGAGTCTACATAATTTGATAAGTAGGCACCACGTCAGAGTAGTCCTACAATGGATTCCTGCCCACACTGGGATACCGGGAAATGAAAGAGCTGATGCTCTGGCAAAGAAAGGAGCTAGCCTCCCTCAGCCTGAAATTCCTACGAATTACACCACTTGCTGCCAAATAATCAAGTCAAACCTCAAGGAAGAGTGGATGAATGATTGGGCCACAGGTACGACAGGAAGGAGGATGTATGGCTACATGAATAAACCACTGGTCAAAGATCCAATCAATGAGTTGAAGAGGGGAGATCAATCCATAATCTTCCAACTTAGAACACAACCTGTACCCCTCAACCAACATCTCAACCGAATTGGAGTAAAGCAGTCTGCTGCCTGCCCACTATGTGACTACCCCTCAAAACATCATCTGTTCTTCTGTAGAAAACTAACTGATTTAAGGGGATGTTTTCTTCCCAAGCTACCCCACACATCTATTTGCCTCTACTCCTCAAGACAACAATTAGAACAAACATGCAACTGTTACCGAATGGCATCATGCAGAGGAGTTAACGCTCAGATGTTACTGGATCGCTAACAACAACAACATACACCTTCTACCTTCAATGGGTGGAAAAACTGTTAAATAGTGAAGACGGTGGAGATACGTTTGTTAAATTACCTTTGCACAGTCTGCAAAAGGTTGGTGGAAAAGCCTGTTTTGAATGTTATGTTCCAGTAAAAGCCTTCAAAGAATTAGACACCATCTACGATACCATTTGGAAGAGAGCAGTCCATTTACGGTTAGAACTACCCCCCCCCCCCCCCCCTTTCCCCCCGGTGGAAAACAGGCAGCAATCAACTTTAAATCAGATTTTGTTCAATAGCAAGTATACCTGTGTAACTGTATAACGTATAAGAGATCTCATTTATGGTTGCCAGAGTGCATCAGACACGGTATAATCCGAGTCCGTGATGTCTGCTTGGGAAACAGGTTGATGTCATTTCAAGAGTTTTCAGAAATTTACGTAACTCTTCCAAATAAATGCATGCTGTATAACGTCCTGGCTAACGCTAAAAAAACCTTTGCAATTAGAGCTGGAAATTGCAGGTTTCTTTCAGGGGTCAACGAGTTGGGGAGATTGGGAGGAAGGATTTCTTACAGTTATTAATAATTATGTATTGTGAGGTACCGTATATTGTAAATATGTGGAAGAGGAAATTAGGGGTAAACATAACAGAAAGTCGTTAATTTATCGGTTATGCGGCAACAAAAGAAATTAGACTCACAGTATTACAATAGAAATGTTTGCATAACATTTACCCAACAAATATTCGGTTGTACAGAATGGGGATAAAGGATTCTAAAAACTGTTCAACATGCCCAACTGAAGACAATATAGAACATTTCATAATGTAGAACAGTGAAACCTTTGTGGAAAGAGGTAGAAAACCAGATAGTCTTATACACTGGGAATGCGTATTCAACTAATTAATGCCTGCCATAATTTATTTGGATCAACCAATGACAGAAGCATCACGAAAGACAACTTCAACAAGCTAACTTGGCTATTCTAGTAGGTAGAATTGTCATATCAAAGTACAAATATGGAGAAAGGCGAAACATTGTCGATATCTTTCACAGAGAATCCAGTTTGAGAAAATTGTGGAAAAAACAACAAGGGTAAGGATCGGCTTAGATGATGGTGATTATGAAGGTGATGATTTCTTTTTTTTTTTTTTCCATTGAGGAGATGTGATCCCCTAGAGGTCAATCTAGGACTCTGGATATTTGTGTTCCATAGTGATGGGCATGTTGAAGGAGGGGAGGGGGAGGGCGAGTGCTGGCTCTTGCTTTCTCTCTCAGAATATGATCAGGTAAGAAGAGATCGTAATTCCGGTGCAACAAGCGGGTATGTGATGAGAACGATGAGAACAGGGTAGGTGTTTTATTATTTATTTCGTTTACCCCTCAGGAGTGTAGATAAGGCGCTATATAATATTTCGGCCCACAAAAGATCACGAGCCTAGGTAGACCCCAATCGAGGACTACGTAGTCATGGTGTCTAGGTGGTCCCCAATTGGGGAGCACGTAGCCACCATGGCTCCTGTAGACCCCAATCTATCATCATTTGTCCCTCGGTCTTGTTCCTTCCACTTTACACTTTTGTATAATCCTGCAGGTTTAGGAATAGCATTTTATGTGTCCGAAACACTGTAATTTTCTTGTTTTTAGCTGTTGTAATTACTCTGGACTTGTGTTTAGAAGGCGACAAACTTATTCATTTGTTTTTCTCTGCGACAATCTAGATCTTTATACAGTGCGTCCATAAAGTCTTGACATTGCATTGTAACCTATCTTTCTCTGTTTTAGTGTGTTTATTTCCCATTTTTGTCTTTGGTAACAATGTGAACACGTCTACTGATGCACACTTGCTGTGTTTTGAAACTATAATAAAATAGAGAAAAAAAATAGGCCACAGTCCAATGTCAAGACTTTGTAGACACACTTTATATTTGCGTAAGGGG